TGGATGTACCAAGGATGCTAGAAAAGAGCTGTGGAATAGGCTGACTCAAATCATCCAACAGGTGAAATCCCCATGGTTGGTGGGGGGGAATTTCAACTGCATCATTTCTGCCACTGAAAAATCTGGAGGCAGAACCCCTAACCTTGCCAAGATGAACACCTTCAGAGATAATATACACAGGGCTGGTCTCTTTGATTTGGGTTTCAAGAGCCCTAATTTCACTTGGAAACTGGGAGAGGCTAGATAGAATATTGGTCAATGATGCTTGGTTCAATCACTTCCTCCTAACCTTTGTAACTCACCTTAGCCTTGTTGGCTTTGATCATAGACCTATTCTTATAAGCATCACTTATACTGATAATAATAGCTCCCCCCCCTTAGATACCTCAACATGTGGGCTGCTCATCCTTCTTATAACAATTACATTGCTGATCTATGGAAAGGGATCTCTCATTCTGACCCCTTAATCAAGCTAAGCTTACTGCAAATCAAGATTGCTAAAGCCCTCAAAAGTTGGAGCTGGAACACTTTTGGAAATGTCCATACCACAGTTCAGAAGGCTGAAGAGGAAGTTAAAGCTCTGGAGAGGGGGGGACAGCTTGGTATTGAGGAGGAGAAAAAGCTGCTGACTGCTCAGAACTACCTCCTTAGTGCCATTGATTATCAGGAAAAAATTCTTAAACAGAAGGAATCCATGAATATTTTCACTGATGGGGATAGAAACACTAGATTCTTTCATGCCTACATCAAATATAAAAGAAAATGCAATACCATCCATGCTATTCAAAATGCTAATGGCCAGTGGTTACAAAACAATAATGATATAGCTAATGATGCTATATGTTATTATAAAGATCTACTCAATCAGGACCACCACTTCAGACCCCATATTGAGAAGGAACACTTCATGGAAGAACTGAACTACACTACTGGTCTCAAGTTGACAGATACCCCCACTGAAAATGAAATATGGAATGCAATTAACTCCATTGATAGCAGCAAGTTTGCTGGCCCTGTCATTTCAGACCCATCTGTTTAACCACTGTCATCAATAAAACCATCAGTAAAATCATTGTGAACAGGCTACAACCTCACTTGGACTACATAATTAAACCCAATCAAACGGCTTTTGTGAAAGGTAGGTCTATTATTGATAACACTCTTTTGGCCCAAGAACTTCTACAGGACATGAATAAAGCTTGTAGAGGGGGTAATATGATATATAATCTGGACTTAAGGAAAGCTTATAATACTATAAGCTGGGATTACATTTTGGAGGTTTTAAGTGTTAGAGGTTTTGATGCTGGCTTCTGTCAACTTATCAGGAGGTGGCTGCACAATAATGATCATTCCATTCTGATAAATGGGCAAGGGAAGGGCTCTTTCACTGCTACAAGAGGTTTAAAACAAGGG